TGTTCCAATTGGTGTTGTTTACGTTTTAATAATTCTGTCCAGAGCAGATTAAGATGAAGACGAAATTGAACAATTTTACCATGATTTGGAAGAAGTCTTAAAGTCAATGAAGAAACAGCACACTACAATAGTAATGGGTGACTTCAATGCCAAAGTTGACAAGCGAAGATTGGATGGATATATGGGTAAATATGGTTTAGCAAATAGAAATGACCGCTTAATACAATTTTGCCAGATGAAAGAATATGTAATAGCTAATACACTTTTTAAACCATCAAAAAGAAGAATATGTATAAAAAATCTCCTGAAAATACAACAAATAGATTAATCCTAAATGAAATTAACTTTGTCCTCATTGAACAAAACTTACCCTAAAGAAGATATCAGTTCAGATTATAACCCCATAGTAGTCACATTCCGAACAAAAATGAAGTTAATTAAAAAACACGAACTATAATTGATATAAAGAGATTAAGATTTAGGGAACCACAAACAAAGGAACAAACTGTAAGAAATCTTACTAAATATTGATATTATGCCAAGGACTAAATAAAAACAAGTATAACATTGATCAAAAGTAGGAAAATGTAAAACAAGATATAATTAAAATAGAAAATGAAAACTTAAAACCAAAGGAAAAAAAACATGAAAACTGGATGACTTAAGAGATACTATAGTCCATTTCCATCATATTGATAGCACATTATGTATGCAAATCCCTAAACTGTTGATACGGGTGACTCAATGAAAAATAGATATTTGTCAACAAGGTTACAGAAGTATAGAGGAAAACAATTTTAAATTGAGTATGACCACCAGGTATAAAGGTTGAAGCAGAATAGAATACAATAGTTTTGAGGGTAAATAAATAAAGTTGCCAGTGTCACAGTGATGGAGATTAACAGGTGCTAATAAATTTGCAAGAAATGTAAGATGTTTATTTTATTGGTTATATATAACATAATTTGGGGCCGTAACAGGGGCCGATTTGTAAAAAAAATGATTATTTGATTCAAATTCCATTTCAGATTCACTGCTTTCTTCAGAATCTAAAGAATCTTTAACTCCAATGTTAATTATTACGGTTCCAGCATTGCATCAGTCATATTATCCAGATTCTACATTTTATTTTCTTCCTTGTGAGCATGACTAACAGCATTTTTCCAAGTTTCTGGAGTTACTGTTGATAAGAAATGTTCTAATAATTGTTGTAAGTCTTCTAATTTAAAAGTTTTGTTGTTGCGTCCAACTTCACCCTTTACTTGAGACCATATTATTTTTTATCGGATTCAGATCACAGTGGTATGGGGGTAAACGTAAAATAATTATATCACGGTTTAATGCCATTTCATCAATTATATATTTTTTATAATCAGCTTTATGTTACCTTACAATAGGTAATAATTACTTTTTTGTCGAAATCTCCTTGTACTCAATTGCGTGTTTATCCAACCATTCGATTATCTCTCCTTTTTTCCATGCCATTGTTGGCAATTTTTCTGCTAGTCTTGAATGGTAACTAGCATTATCCATGAATATGACAGAATTTTTTGGAATTAAATCCAACATTTGCTTAAAATATTCTTTAAAAACGTCAATCATTTGCATCTTTAAAAACGGCGGTCATTTCCTCGTGGTAATCTTTGGTTGATTTTGAGGCAAAACTTAATAATCCACCATTGACAAAACCGTATTCGTTTCCAATATGGGTTATGAGTCTAGGTCCTTTTCCAACGGGAATACTGTTTATTTCAGTAGATATACCTTCGATGAATGCCTGACGGGAACTTTTCACATTTGTATCAACCCATAGATATGGTACAGTATGACCTTCATTTGCCAAGTTTCGTCCAAATAAAAAATTGTTTTCACTTCTTCTCGGTACTATTTAATAGTTCTTAGATAATCTCGTCTCCAACATATAATGTAATCTTTTTCAATTAAACGGATTTTCTTCTATCCTTTTGCCAACAAAATCCTATATCTCTCAATAGTTCCCATAATTTCTTGTTGCTTGTGATTGGTAACTCTTCGTTTTCTCTAATTAATGTTTGGATTTGGTACAATATTGGAAATTCTTTGTTAAAAAAAAATGAGTGGACGCTGCGTCTTATCATGTTTTTATGTATTTCTTCAATTTCCAAGGGTTTACTCCCTCCACTCTTCTTGGGAGATGAAACAGTTCCTCCTTTTCTTTCTTTTAGGAATCTATAATGTGTTGCTTCTCGAACTCCTGTCATATTTGAACACATGTTAACGATTTCACAAACATCACTTAAAGGGCGTTAATGTACAAGTGCATCGTGTACATTTAATATTATATTTTTCTCTCTTAGACTGAAGGCACCTTTAAAACTACACTTAACTGGGATAAAACCTGTTGTCGACGTCATTTTTAAATGCAAATAACAAAATATCGACACCAAAAACGTAGGTAGGTAAGACATGAACAATGTACATCTACAAACTAAATGGAAGATGCAAACAATTTCTAATTTATATTATTTTCATAAGCTGTAATGTGGCATAAAAACTACTTAAACTATCATTAGTAAAGCCTTATCAGTAATTACAGGTAATCGTTCAAAAAAGGTATTCTTTTTGTGTCAGACGATAACTTGTATAGAAAACAATAATCACCTTTAAATTACTATTTACATTAATTTATTTCGTGAAACATTGAATTCTCTCGTTAATCACCCGTGTATAATTAACAATAATCGTGTGGCATATATACCGACGTTTTCTACGCACAAAAAAGGTATAGTGAGATTAGTGGACACTTATTTTACAGAAGATAATGAATTATTGACGGCATCTTAAATCATTAATTTTTTTTATTTATTTAAAAACAAGTATAGGGTGACGCCTATGGTTTTTTGACCTGTTAAGGATTTGCATACATAATGTGCTATCAGTATGATGGAAAAGGACTTAACTATTAGTAAATGAAAGAAAATTATTTATTAATGAGCGCCTAATATTAAATGGTGAGTTACTTAATAACTATATGGTCGACTATATAAAGATATGTCGACAATACCGTCCTTTTGACGAGAACACTAGAACAAGCGCAATACCTTGCTCAATAACTAAATATATATTGCAACGATTATAAACTAAAAATAAACTTGAAGAAAACAAAGTTCATCGTATTTACAAAAGTACAAAACATAAAAGTTAAGCTAGTACTAGATAACACCAAAAATTGAACAAATATTTTTATACAAATAACTTTTAACAGTGTTAGGCCATTTGTTCGGGCTGTTAGGCCGTTGTCTTCTGAGATTAGTTCTCGACGTTTAGCCAACACTAGGGGTTGCCATCTTCTGGAGATGTTACTGCTTCGCTTGTAAGCTGAAACTGACGCCGCGTTATTTTCTATTCACTGTATAATCCAATAACTGGATTTATTTCATGGCATGTAGACGCCGCAGCAACTGTATTGTTTTCTACCCATTTAACGATAATTATTCCACCATCCTTGTTTAGTATTAAACTATAGTCCCCTCTCATAGTTTGTTTCAAAAGATTTTTTTTTTGGAGTAATGGGCAAGATTTGGGTATACGGTTTTCTGGAATTGTTTTTGTTCCATCGTATCATAGTTGTATTAAATAAAATAAAATATTAAAACCCGTTAAAAGGTTGTCAAAATAAAATGTAAATGGTAAAGTTTTGTAAGCTTCGGGGAATTCGTGTATCATATTTTAAATGTTGTGTTTTCTTTAGGTTTTTTTCTAATAATATTCTAATAATAAAAATATTCTAATAATTTTCAACTTCAACTTCAACCGGTAATAAACTTTTGAATCGTGCAATATTTTGTTTTGGAAATTGTCTTGCGCAGGGAACTAAATCTTCATTTATCCAAGTTACTTTGGTTCTTCCTGGTCGTTCTGGTATTTCGTACCTTTTATTCCCTTATTAAACTGCTTTTATTCTGTATGAAATCGTACTTCAACAGGGTCTGTTGGGCTTGTCAACAATACCTTCGTTATCTTCTTCACCTGAGTCTTCATCCGTAAGAATATTTGATTCTAGAGGCTCTATAAAATATTTTGAATGTTAATTTCATCATCATAAACCATGTTTAAGGTCTCTTCTAACGTTAAACCTCGCTTGAAACAAATAACAGTAAATTAACATCTGCACCCATACTTGGCCGTTTTGTTTAGCTTTACCATATGGTAACGCTCTGCAAAATAGTGCTAATTATAAAGGTAAATTTTAGCATCAAAATAATCCAATATAGATCGAAAGTAGTCTATTAGCTATCATCATCATCCTAAATCAGTCATTTGCGTCTACTGCTGGACATAGGCCTCCTCAGTTCTTTCCCATGTTCCCGTGTTCTCTATACTAGGTCGCTTATAGCCAGTTTCCCGCCACACGTTTTATACCATCGGTCCGTCTAGTCGGTGGTCGTCCTCGGCTTCTTTTATAGCTTCTGGGCCTCCATCCCATAATACGTCTTGCCCAACGTACATCTTGTGTTCGGGCTAAGTGCCCTGCCCAATTCCACTTAAGCGTCGTGGTTCTTTCGATGTCTTTCGAAGTCTTGATGAACTCCTGATCTTTGTCTGATTTGTTGGTTTGTTATGTGGTCTTGAAGGCTCACGTTCAGCAAGCTCACGTTTAGCTATCATACATTACCAATATCTTAAGAATTCTACGTAAAATAAAATATTTCTAAACTTACTCTAGACGGAAGTTCACTAGTTGAGAGTACATTTTATACAACAAACTTCAACACACTAATTCAACTAATGGTAGTTTTGGTTGGAAGAATCCAGTTAAACCACCGCTTGCACTAACATTCGACAGTAAAATGACACACCGCTGTATTGAATTTCCAACAAGTCTCAACAATTTGAACATAAATAGAGATGGGCGTAACTGTTACCATTACGTAACGCTAGCCGTTTATGGGTTAAAGATCGATTCCCTGTGTAATTTTGTTGTACTTCTTAATATGTTTTTAGTATGTCTTTTTTTTTAGGTTGACTTACCATCTATTTTCAGTACATTAATCCAAGCAGTATCATTAAAGCAGCTTTTTCATTATGGTCAGCTGGTTTTATCAGGTATGAATTTTACTTCATTGACAACTAAAATTAAACATTGAACTAAGCATTGCTGAGTGTTAACTTTCATTCAATACATTTAACGTTAACCAGTTTATTCCACCAATGTAACGAATATATAATATATATATATATATATATATATATATATATATATATATATATATATATATATATATATATATATATATATATATATATATATATGTTAATGTGATATTAAAAGTCTGAGATGCACCAAGCAATTAATTAGCTAATTAATTAATCTATTAAACTTATTTAAATGATGCAATTATGATTCTATCGCACTATTTAATTCTCTTATCTCAGGGTTATACTCGTGCTTCAATTTCTATGATTTACATATGATAGGTAAGGTCCAAAGAATACCGGAATAATTAAAAACATATATGATACAATATTATATATTGAAATAAAAATATATTGAAATAAAATTAACACTCAAATATCTTCAATAAAAATATCTCATACAATGATTATCAAAATTTTGTTCTACGTACGTGAACCTTCAAAAATTAATGGTACATACAATATAAATTAAAATCTTAAATCAAAATTGTTGTTCTAAATTTCCTGATCAAAATATTCCTATCTTTTCTAAAGCAATTGTAAAAAAATGTGTTGTTAATAAAGAAAAACTGAAGAATAGAAAAATTATCTCTCTGATAATGAGTTGTCCAAATCCTTGTTACTTGTAGCCTACACTGTCTATTCTTAGCAGTTCCCTAAGTAATCAACAATACTTCCACAAATTGTTGCTAGCCTATCGTCTTTAATGATCTCCTTCAAATGGATATATCGTTCAAATTATGCTAGCCTCTTCTCCTCTCGATAAACTGAATCTCTCGTTCTGGCCTGAACAGTGACTCTTGGAATATAAGTAGAAAATATAACTTACAATATTTTACTGGATCAGCCTCTGTCAGATAAACTTACTCCACGAAAACTCACAAACATTCACTTCTACTGTTTACTACCTCTGAGGAACCATCAGAGAACAACGACTGTTCGCTTTCTACCCTTGGAAATCAACTGATTATCTTTTTTTCAACAATCTAGCTAAACTCTTCTTCTTACATACCTATCCCACCTTTTTCAATCTCCTCCAATCAAAGTTTTTTTTACAAACAAACAACAATTTTACCTACAATTATAAATTTCCTAAAAACTATTAACATGCTAATCGGTTTCTACAAATTCTTAAGAACTAACGGAGAAATATATTTCCTAAATATTTATTCTATTGTCTTATTCACTGTACAAGTCCATTTGGAAAACACGCTCGCATTGTTCATGATTTCAGTTAAGCTCACTCCCGTCACTTAAAATATTTTACAAAGAAAATTATTTATGCATATCTTTAAATTTTTTTTATTACAGTAATCCAGGATAATGGACTTTCATTTCTTCGAAGTATCTTTTATAGTTTATTGGTATAATTATTTGAATTATTATATTTTGTACTTTGAAATATATTAAATATAACTTTAAAATTAACATTTAAAGTTTTTTTTATTTGTTAATTTACTTTTTGATATTTTAGGAAATTTTCAAATGTACGACTATGGACCGAAGATAAACCAGCAAAAATACAATTCAACTTCTCCCCCAATGTACCATTTTGAAAATATAAAATATGCAACTGCTCTATTTTCCGGAAAGGATGATAAGTTGGTTACACCAGAGGTAAGCAAAATTTTTAATCAATAAAAAATTTATTAAACATCCTTTGTAAAAGGTATATATTAATATATACCTTTTACAAAGGTATATATTATAAAGGTTAAGTTAAAGGTACCTTATATTAATATATACCTTTTACAAAGGATTTTTAATAAATTTTTTAATATATGGTATACAGCCAACTACAGGAACGTAGATTCTTTGTGGATTTTTAAATCAATACTTCCTTAGCTTTTATTTCTAACCTAATTCTTTTAACGTTATAATACATTGTCATACAATAATCGTAGTTGCGTTAGGAAAATCTATTTATCAATTTATTCTACACTATAGTTTATTTTTATGAACGAGAGAGTAATTAGCATAATTTTAACTGGTACCTTCGACCACTCCATGGGCGTGCTCAAGATTAATTGAAAAATTACTTTGAATAATTGTAAAAAATAAATGAATTATTTCAGTGTTATAAAGTGTTATGTGTATGTAAACAAAAGTGACCTCTTTTATCACACACTATATTAGAACTGACTTCTTCTTCTAGTTCCATGAGCGTTATCGATCGTTGGATATCATGTTGGCTACCATATTCGCTATCGTGACTTTATTGACAGCAGCTCTAAATAACTGACTGGCCTACATTAAAAAGGGTTTTAAAAAATTCACATTTTTTTTAATTTTTAAAAATTACAAAAGAGAAAAAGAGTTTTTAAAACCGTCTAAGGTATGTTAGATGAATAAAAATATTAATATAAAACTTACAGCTACTTGTTACAAATACAAATCAGATTCAGAAGATGAACTTTCAGAACCAAGATTTATAATAACTGGCTCGATCATTTTATCAGTAATATTGTCCAGCTTCCACATTTTTTCCTCTTCTTTAATAGTGTGATTTACTGCCTTTTCCCAGTTTTCAGGTTTTACATTATTTACGGCCTCCAAAAACAACTGTTTAACATCATGAATTTTAAAAGTGGTATTTTTTCTTGAAACTTCACTCTTTATCTGTACCCATACCAGTTCAATCGGGTTTAATTCACAATGATATGGTGAGGATCTAAGTACTGTCATTCCACGATTTTTGACAATTTCATCAATTTCGTATTTTTTAAATTTTTTTTTATGAAGGGCACACAACGAATAAAGTTCCTTTCTTATAGATCCGGAATGGTACGTAATATTTTTTGAACTCAGCCAATTCTGCAAGTCTTTTTTTAACCACTTGGTTGTGGGCAGTCCTTCTATAAGTCTGGAGTTATAACTTGCATTATCCATTACTATTACACAGTTCTTAGGAAGAAGATTTATCATTTGTTCGAACCATTCTTGAAAGACATCAGCGTTCATGTCTTCATGGTAGTCACCGGTACGAGTTGATTCAAAAGTTAATAAACCACCTTCAACAAAACCGTCTGAACTGCCAATGTGTAATATTATCAGCCTGCGTCCCTTTCCTGATGGTGGCTTTAAACCAGTAGATAAGTTATTTACAAAAGCGTGCCTTTGACTTGTAACATTTTCATCCTGCCAAAATTTATTTGGTGTATGACCCTCGTTGATCCATGTTTCATCAAGATAAAATATTTTTCTTTTTTGGTTTCTTATTTCCTTTATGGTTCTTAGAAAATGTCTTCTCCATATGACAATATCGCTTCTTTCTAATAAAATAGACTTTCTGGGATTCTTTTTCCAGCGGAAGCCTATTTCTTTTAAAAGTTTCCATAACGTACTTCGACTCATTTCTGGGTAATCCTTATCATCTCGAACTGAGACAAGAACTTTATCCAATGTTGGAAATTCTTGTCTAAAGAAGAATTCATGCACTTTCCGTCGAAGTCCTTCTTTAAAATGATATTCTATTTGAAATTTTGGTTTTCCTGGAGCATTTCGTGGCATTTGAAAACTACCACATTTCTCTTCTTTAATAACTCTGTAAATCGTAGATTTCCCAACACCAAGTGTACTGCTAACTAACTCAACGGTCTCATCAACACTCTCACATAAACGTTTGTCTGTAAATGATTTAAAACAATTAAATAATAATGTTTTTTCATTAACTGTTAAAGGACCAATTTTTCGGCGTTTACACGGCACTTCCAAATTTTCCATAACACTAGTATACACAATAAACTGCACCTTGCAACTGAAGTACCTACTTTTAGTGAACTGTTAAGAATTTTGAATACGCCACTTGGACCTTCCTACAAAATGGAAAAACCCACTATCACATTAATTTAAATTAAATTGAATGTGAGTTATGAATTAAATGAATTCAATGTTTGATTGTTGAAACCCTTACTTCGTGGAATCCACTCATTTCAGATAAAATAAAACGTTTTATTTTATCTAAAGAATTAAACTTTATTTTGCAAATAGGTAGGTACTTAATAAACTTTTATTGGTTATATATAACCAATAAAATAAACATCTTACATTTCTTGCAAATTCATTAGTACCTGTTAACCTCCATCACTCCGACACTGGCAACCTTATTTAGGGATTAGTAACCCTCACAACTATTGTATTCTATTCTGCTCCAACCTTTATACCTGGTGGTCATACTCAATTTAAAATTGTTTTCCTATATACTTCTGTAAACTTGTTGCCAAATATCTGTTTTTCATTGAGTCACCCGTATCAACAGTTTAGGGATTTGCATACATAATTTATTGTTTTATTACTCTCTCATACATAAAAATACACTATAATAAGAATATATAAATAAATATGAAGCTACGAGAGCAAGAGTGGGCTAACCAACATTTTTTTGGTAATTGAGTTATAGATTGCAATCACTTCTAACGACCTAAAGTTTTAAATCAAAACCGGTCTAACGGACATTTCCGTATATTATAACATAAATCTCTCCAGTAAGGTGATTTTGCATTATAGAAAAATTTGAAAACAGGAATAACCTAACCCACGAAGTTGTGGAATAGACCTAAATTGTTCAATATATAAACACGTAAAAGAATGCAAAGAGTGGGCTAACCATCCTTTTTGTAGGATAGACCAGTGAATAGATGTTTGCGTTAAGGAAGAAATTAGACTGTGTAGTGTAGTCCCTTTATTTTTAACCATATCCTCTCTTTGCACTTAAAGATGCGCTATGGTACACGGTATTTTACGAAGTAGGCAATTATGACTTGCAAAATTCGTATCTGTGTTTCCGTATCAAAGTTTCACATAAATCTGGAACCTACATCAAATCAGTTGAGTCGAGACGGAAGATGTCAAGCTGGATCCAAATGGCACTGAGATTAAGATATGTAAGCATTTTTTCTAAAAACTTTGCAGATTTCTAATGGTAAAGTGGATAGACTTTTACAAAAAAATCACAAACTGGAGTTACACCTCGGGATAAAAGAGACAAAGTACATCAAAAAATAAAACAGGTGACGACAAAACTACTAAAGAAAAAAAATTCATTAGTAAAGTTCCCACATACGAATCATTATACGAGGCATAAAAGTGAACATAGAAGTTATTTTGCACCAGATTGGAGTTTAGTAATCCTTTATTACTTTTACAAAGGAGAACATACTAGTAATCCTGTCTCATTCCACATGTAATGTAAACATAGCAAGAAAATAAAGAAAAAAAATAAGGGGTTGTAGCCTAGAAAAAGTATAAATTATTTAAATAATTATTCTCTCTCTCTCTTGTCGTTTCCTCATTGCTGAGGATCTGTGCGGCTGTCAATTCTCTCCATCTCTTGCGATTTTGGGCTGCTCTCATGGACTCGGAAAACGTCTCTCCAGTGGCTTTCTGTACTTGATCTGACCATCGGATAGGTGAGCGTCCTCGACCTCTACGTCCTTCTACGTTTCCGCACACAATTAGTCTTTCTAAGTTGTCATTGTCTCTTCTCGCAATGTGGCCAAAAAACTTTAAAACATTTGCAAGACACTGAGAGGAGAGTCTGGTCTGAATATTTAGCTCTTCGAGAATCGACTGATTGGATCTGTGCTCCGTCCACGAGACGCGTAGCATTCGTCTCCAGCACCACATTTCGAATGCGTCAATCCTTTTCCTATCCTCTGATTTTATTGTCCATGTTTCGGCACCGTAACTAAAGATTGAAAAAACGAGTGTCCGTACCAGTCTCATTTTGAGTTTTTTGGACAAAGAGCGGTCCTTCCATATTTTTGACAGTCGACTCAATCGCGTTCTTGGCCATTCCTATTCTTCTGCGAATTTCCGTATGGCAGGAGGCTGCATTGCTTAAGGAAGATCCTAGATACGTGAACTCGTCTACTTTCTCGAATTGATTTAGGGGCGCCTGTTTGTTTGGAGCCTCATTATGTATTCTCCATATAAATTGAACAGGTCTGGAGATAGTATGCAGCCTTGTCGTACACCTCTGCTGGTTTTGAAGGTATCAGATTGCTGGTTTTCAATTCTTATTTTAACTGAGTTATCTTCGTATAAGTTTTTAATTAATATTGCCAAATGATCTGGAACTCCCATCTCATGAAGAACTGTCCAGAGAACTTCCCACTTTACACAATCAAATGCCTTTTGGTAGTCTAGAAAACAGATTATTATTGGAATTTTAAATTCGCGGGCCTTTTCTATGAGCTGCCGCATATTAAGGATTTGCTCTCTCGTACCCTTCCCTTTGACAAAGCCTGCTTGTTCTTGGGGAATTTGGTTGTCTAAGTACTGTTGCAAACGGCGTTTAATGATTCTTAGTAATATTTTTGCTTGGATGGGAAATCAGTGAAATGGTACGATAATTACTACACTTTGTAGTTGTTCCTTTTTTATGGATTGGTATGCACAATGATGTGCGCCATTCTCTGGGCCATTTTCCGCATCTCCAAATTTTATTACAAAGTTTCCACATTATGTAACATCCTTTGTCTCCCATGTTCTGAAGGAGCTCTTCCGTGATATCATCGCAGCCAGGGGATTTATTCTTCTTGAGGTGAGTTACAGCTTCTTCAATCTCGGACAGCAGAATTTCAGGTTCAGGGTTGTATTCAGTGTTTTCGAGGGCTGAAGTGTGGCCTAGATTTACGTGTTCTTCCCTTTAGAGCTCTGAACAATAGTTTTTTCCATGTTTCCAACACTCTGTCGATATCACTTATGATAATACCATGGTTGTCCTCTATTGCATAGTTCTTGGGTTTAAATTCTCTCGCAAGAATTTTCACTTTCCGGAAGAGGTCTTTGGTTTCATTTCGATATCCGTGATTTTCTATTTCTTGGCAGATTTCAGAGATGTTTTCTTGTTTGTCTTTTCGGCATCTTCGTTGAATATCTCTGGAGAGAGCTTTATATATTATAAGTAATTATTATATATTCCAAAATAAATAAAGAATAAATTCGATACAGTTTAACGTATACATTTCAAATTATACAAAGAATAACAATTTGACCTAGTTAGAGCCTAGTTGACAAGCCCGAATGTTTAAGAATTACGAAATGTGAAGACCTTCGTGGAAAATAATACAACGAAGCGACACACCATCGCATGATCCATTCTAACACGTGGAACACACAGCAGAATCAGCAAAAAAAATACTAGGAATGTTCGCGGGACATAAAAAACGAAAAAAATTGGTCAACCGGGCAGTATTATCGAGGGAGCGCTCGGCACGAGTAGTGTCCAGCAAGCGCTAGGCACCGGTAGTATTCGGGCGACCGGAGCCAGAGAGTGCTCAATCGCCAGTAGTTGCCGGCACCCGTGAGTGCTCGAAGGCGGCAGCGTCCAGTAAACGCCGGAGGCAGTAAGAGCGGAAAAGCCGAGAGGGCTCCACGCCAGAAGCTCGGGCGATCGGCATTACGCAGTCCGGTGAGCACGCTATTGTAATTCGACGGGGATAGTACCGTATAAGTGCCGGTACCTGGTGTTTCGAAAATTCGTGATAGCGCGTGGTACCTCAACAAATTGAACCTGAATTCCAGTAGGACTGAAGGGCGTATTCATTAGCTAGGGCCTAAATACGCGAAGGTAACTAAATCTATATACTAACCCAAGGAATATATAAAAACGTAGATTGCTCACCCTTTAATTTCTTGCTAAGATCTCTTCTCGTCTCCCTTCGCGCCTGAACGAATCTTTATTGGTTATAACTGACAGCTTGTTAACTTAATTGTAGTATACAGTCTATTTAATACATTTGTAGACTCGAAATTTGGTTTTATTGTTCCTTCTCGGCCGTTACAGGCAGAGACTAGAAGAGTACACAATTTCCGCTTATGCATTTTTCCGGCTTCTAAAGTAAGCCAATAACCTCTGACTCCTTACAAGGCCTGCATCGAGTATCCTTCAGCCACTATCCTGTTTTTTTCCTACCCTCTTGTAAATCCACGAGGGAGAAACCACGTCCATTCAGACTAGTTGAGCCAGAAAGCCTTGCCTCCGCTCGCAGAGATAAGCATCCTTTAAAGTTTAAACCGAGGATGTTACAGGGGTTACAGCAGTCTTAACTCCGCTAGTATTACAGTGGTGACAGCGGGCTTGCCCCCGCTAGTATTACAATAAGTAGGCAAAAATTTTTTTTTAAAGATATCTACGTACCTGACGACTGGATAAAGATAATAGAACATGCACGAAAGAAGCGCATTTTACGGTAATAAAGATTACAGAAAACGATTTTTATTCTACTAAGAAGTTAGAAAGAAATATAACAAATCGCAAACTTGATACACAAAAATCCAATGGTTATAGATTCAGTGGTTGCAATACAAGAAAACAAATCCATTTCCAATTTACTACATATACAGTAACAATGCAGATGTGCTCTTTTACTCACTAGATATCAAAAAGAGGACATCCAGGAAAATACTTCAGCTAGATTATCTTTATAGACGCTTTAGACGTCCAATAACCGAAGCAAAACAAAGATCTTTTGGAATTACTTTCATTTATACCTCCAATTCATCATGGATTTTACACAAGCACCAGAACAATAAGATCCACTATACAGCAAAGTTCATACAGAAGAGTTCATTAACGATGAAGATTCAGTATTTGTGCTACTTTGTTTTTTAATAAAGCATATTTTAACATTGTTTAATTATTGTACTCTAGGTCGAATTCACATTCCTATTAAAATTTTTAAGGGCACACTAATTCAAAAGCGGTCTAATCCACAAAAAAAGCTTAAATTTTTATATTTTTGTTAAATATACTGCAAGATCTTCGAGTTTTTTGTTATTAGATAATGATTTGTAAACAATGACTTACCTTTAGGCATCATATTTTAATTTTATAAAATTTCAAAAAAAAAACGCATATATTTTTGGTTCATGTAAATCCATTATTCTATATTTGGGGTTAGCCCACTCTTGCTCCCATAGCCTCATATATCCTACACTACGAACAAAAATGTTTTGTTCAAGTCTTGAAATGAGGTGAAGGCCTTAGCGCAAAATAGAACCCGATGGCGCGTTTTCACTGAAGCTCTATGCTCCACTTAGGAGTTCAAGAACCTTCTATATATATATATATATATATATATAATATATATATATATATATATATATATATATATATTATATATATATATATATATATATATATATATATATATTATATACGAACAAAAATGTTTAAGGTTAACTGCTTGTAGTCTAGTGCAACTCTTTTATTAAATGTTAGTAATATAAAATTATTTTTTCAGGATGCTCGACTTCTAGCAAAGCAGCTTCCAAATGTAGTCTACTACTCTACGGTACCTTTACGTGATTTCAGTCATAATGACTTTATTATGAATAAAAATATTGAAAACTCTCTATTTAAACAAATTTTAAAACTGTTGGAAAGATTTAAAAAATAGACGAATACCAACAATTGTATTATTTTATTTTTACATTACGAAATCAATTCCCATTGGTGTTAATCTTTTGTCTGCTTTAACATCCAACCTTCTCTGTCCAAAGTTGAAGATCTTCTTCTTCTTTGAGTGCCTCTGCGTCCTTAGATTTTTCCTCGCATTATATTTTGTAGAAATGTATACTTTTGTCCTCTCATCAGGTGGCCTAAGTATTCAAGTTTTCCGTTTTTATATTTATAATAACTTCTGAATCGTTATTTATTCTGCGTATTACCTCTTCATTTGTAATTTTATCCACCCAACTTATTTTTAGTATACGGTCGTAGCACCACATCTCAAAGCTTTCAAGATTTTTAATTTTCCTCTGTTTAAGAGTCCATGCCTCAACACCGTAGAGCAAAGTACTGAATACATAGCATTTTAACATTCTAGTTCGTAGATGAATACTAATATCACGATTACAAAATAATTTTTTTCATTTTTATAAAGGTAGACCTGGCAATTTCAATACGTCTTTTTATCTCGTGATTTTGGTCACCTGTTTCATTGATGAGGGTTCCCAAGTATTTGTATGCTTTTTTCAAGTTGGGTACCGTTTATTGCGATACTAGTGTCATATATTGGATTCTTACTAAAGGTCATATATTTGGTTTTTTGACGTTAATCCTTATGCCGTAGTTATTACATATCTCATTCATACTTTCAACTAGATGTTGTAGATCTTACGCTGTTTTTGCCATTATCACAGTATCGTCAGCATATCGAATGTTATTGATAGCTTCTCCATTGACTATTATCCCTTCGTTTGCATGTGAGAGAGCTTCTTGGCATATTTGTTCGCTGTAGATATTAAACAAAAGCGGTGACAATATACAACCCTGTCGTACTCCTCTACGTATTTCTATTTCGTCCGATGTTTGGTCTTCTACTTTTATATTAGCTCGCTGATTCTAGTACAGATTTAATATTATTTGTATGTCTCTGGTGTCGATGTTCTTACCTTCCAGGATTTCTTTGAGTTGATTGTGGCGTACTTTGTCAAAGGCCTTTTCAAAGTCTATAAAGCAGGCATGCACCTCTAGGTTAACAACTAAACACCTCTGTGTTAGGACATTTAATCAAAGAGAGCTTCTTTTGTACCTAATCCTTTTCTGAATCCCATCTGTGTATCGTTAATATCGATATCTAACTTTTGATAGATTCGGTTGTGGATGACTCTAAGAAATATTTTAAGCAGGTGACTCATCACGGAGATTGTTCGATGATCTGAACATTGCATTGCCTTAGTTTTTTTCGGTATGGTGACAAACGTAGACAGCAATCATTCTTGAGGTATTATACGATTACATATTGATATGAGAAATACCAGGTCTGAGCGATTATCAACAGATAAATTTGCACTTGCGTCGGGAATATGGAACCCATTTATAGAGAATTGTATATTATGTTATACACCTGGCGAAAGTATAACTATCGACGAGCAGCTTTTTTCCACGAAGGCAAGATGCCGCTTTACCCAGTACATGGCGAATAAACACAATAAGTTTGGAATTAAATTCTGACTTGCAGCTGATGTCGAGTCCAAATATTTGTTGAACGGATTTCCTTACCTAGGGAAAAATGCACAACGACCAGCCAATCAACTTCTGGGGAAACATGTTGTTAGCCGTCTAATGGAACCATTTATAAATAAAGGAAGAAATGTCACGACGGATAATTTGTATAATCAGTAAAAAATTAAAAGATGGAATTGTACAAAACAAAAATTTTCAAACACGAAGACTTGACGCTAACGGCGTACTAGGGAAAAGTCAACAAAAATGTTTTAGTGCTGAGTTCTTTACACTCGAATGATATTAAAATGGGCACAGATTAAAAGAAAAAACCGGAAACCATCATCTTCTACAACCAGACAAAATACGAAGTAGACGTTGTATATCAGATGGCTAGACTGTATTCAACCAAATCTGCTTCAAGAAGATTGCCGTTGTAAGTTTTTTTTAATATTTTAGATATGGCAGGAATAAATGCTTGGGTTCTGTATAAGAAAGTTACGGGCAGTCAAATATCTAGGCACGATTTCCTACTTCAGTTAGCAGAAGAATTGCGAGAAGATCACATGACTAAGGGCAGGACAACATCAACTTATACAAATCCAAGAGGTACAAAAAAACCACCAAATAATAAACGTAAGCAATGTCAAACAGGAATTGCAACAAAAATAAAACATTTGAAATTTGTCATATATGTAAAAAATTTGTGTGTGGGTCGTGTACAAGCAAAATTGAAAAATTTTGCTACTTCATAAATTGTACTTAAATAATTAAATAATTTATGCAAATATATTAAATATGTCTTTTATCATTAGTTATTAACTCAATATAGGTTTTTGCTCAAGTTGCACGTCGAAGTCGCATAAAACCAGCTGATATTTCTTGCAAGCCTGATAGACTGGCTTCTTTTGAATATACAATTTATTGACCAACAGGTACAAATAAAATCTTTATAAAAGCATTTATTGCCATTTTTGGCAATACCAATGATCGGTTGCGTCGCTTAACCACGTTAAGACGAGAGGGGCAAGTTCCTATAGATAAACGAGGTAAAAATCAATATGGCAATGCGAAGTCAGGACTTGTTATAGATTCAATCATATAACATATTGCTTCGTTTCCGGTTAAAACTTTCCAATATACTAGTAGACAATCTAGGTATCTAAATATTTTTATATAAATATTTTTATAATGTATAAGTTGTAAGAGATTCACCCAGAACAAAACAGAACAATAATTTTCATTATAATTCGGTCGCAAACAAGTCGACACCTGCTCTACATGTGAAGAGTTAGAAACTAAAATAAAAAGTAAATTCTTAAATGAAACAGCAAAAATAGTGGCACTGGCAGAAAAAACTGTTCATAAGAAATAGGCAAACAAATTTTATAACAAACTTAAAACCATTTCAGAACTTTGTAAAGTAGATGATAATGTTGTTCTGAAGCTATTTTCTTGTGGCATTGTAAATTAATTACTATTTATAACTGGGAATAAGCCACAATTAAAGATAAAAATACGTTTATTGACGTTTCAATTTCCAATTCGGAAATCGTTCTCAAAATACAAACAGTAAATTAAACAAATTTTGTTTTTTGTTACATAGTGAAAAAATTCTTCTAATAATTTAATTTGATCTGATTCATTTATATTGACAATTCAGACATACATTATGCATTTTAAATAGACGACTTTAAAATGATATTGCCAATATTGTTGAGTTGCGCTCCTGGGACGACTTTACTTATAAGATAGTTCATTCGATTACATGAAATCAACTTTAACTTGAGAATATCCGTCAGAAAAAATCATAGCATGTAATTCGTCTTTAAAAAGACAAACACATGACATGATGACAGTAAAATTCTCCTGTTAGTGATTCCATAGTAAATTATGAGGGAAAAACCAGAAAAAAAACCTCATAATACTATCCCGACATTGTAAGTATTTGTTTGTGAATTTAGTTTACCTTCAACAAACATCAAAAATTCTGATTTTATATGTTATGTTAGATACATAAATGATGTATCCTCTATATGTTACTGACTTACTAATACTGGTATTTTCTTATTAATAACTTCCTCTTTCAATATTGGTAACCAGATCCTACTACATTCTGCCGAGGAATTTGCGACACAATTGGCCTCATTTAGCATAATTAGAGCCGCTTCTTTGATTTTTCTTTTTTTACCATCCGTTTCTTTTAGGACTATATTTGAATTATTCCATTGAACTCTATGTTCATTATCCCATGCGTGTTTACATATTTGAGATCTATCAAATTCCCTATTTTTAATATAAGATTTATGTTCACTTATTCTAACATTTAATGGCCTTGATGATTCACCTAAATAAAACTGATCGCATTCACAAGGTATTTTATAAATGCAATTCTTTGCCCTTTCTTGTTCATTGTTAGGTTTGGTTTTGGACAAAATAGATCTCAACGTGTGTGTTGTTTTGAATGTTGTTGAAATGTTGAATTTATTTCCTATCCTTTTAAGTTTTTCTGATAATCCTTTTATGTACGGTATTGTTATAGAATTTTTGATGTTTGTTGAAGGTAAACTAAATTCACAAACAAATACTTACAATGTCGGGATAGTATTATGAGGTTTTTTTCCTGGTTTTTCCCTCATAATTTACTATGGAATCACTAACAGGAGAATTTTACTGTCATCATGTCATGTGTTTGTCTTTTTAAAGACGAATTACATGCTATGATTTTTTCTGACGGATATTCTCAAGTTAAAGTTGATTTCATGTAATCGAATGAACTATCTTATAAGTAAAGTCGTCCCAGGAGCGCAACTCAACAATATTGGCAATATCATTTTAAAGTCGTCTACTTTAAAATGCATAATGTATGTCTGAATTGTCAATATAAATGAGTCAGATCAAATTAAATTATTAGAAGAATTTTTTCACTATGTAACAAAAAATAAAAATTTGTTTAATTTACTGTTTGTATTTTGAGAACGATTTCCGAATTGGAAATTAAAACGTCAATAAACGTATTTTTATCTTTAATTGTGGCTTATTCCCAGTTATAAATAGTAATTAGATGATAATGTACGTGTTATTTGCATTGATTATATGCAAAACCTGCAACTACCAGTTATTCCTGTCCAGAAAACATTCTATTTAAGACAACTTACTGTTAATGTTTTATGTATTCATAATCTGAAAGATGATAAGGTACATAACATTCTATGTGAATCATAAGGGAACAGAAACTAAAGGGCATAATGAAGTTGTATCATTTTTATTACATTTTCTTGACAACAATCCAGAGTTAAAAATATTAACCATTTTCACTTTTTTTCTGATGCATGTGCCACTTAGAACAAGAACCATACAATAGTTAGACTTTTTTCTGCATTAGTTTCAACCAATAGATTAAAAAAGATTAAAAAATCAGACAGTATTTACACGATAAAAAAGTATGTAGTGCTTATCA